GTTCGTGGCACACCTCTCCGTAAGCCTGAACCTGACTGAAATGCATGGCAAGAAGGAGTCCGCGAGTCTGCCAAGTCGCAGAAGCGGCTCACCGACTTGCTGCAGCTGCCGGTGCCGTTGAAGCCACAGAACGTGGAGAGGCACGTCGCTGCCGGATTGCGCATTAGGCTTGCTGTTGGGTCCATGCTCGGAGCTGGTCAGCACCAGTCGCTTGGCAGGAGTTGCCGTTCCTGGGGTACGCCGGAGATCTCCTGCTGAGCCTGCTACCACGAACGGCAGGACCGAAGTCTTCCAGCATAGGTTTTCTGCAGACCTGCGAACTGAGTGCGCGAACGCGCACGTGCGTGATTTCGAATCACGACTTTTTCTGTGTGATTCCATTTTGCAACATTGACCGTGCTGCTTCGCATTGGTAAGTGAGCACAATGCGCACTTGCATCCAGATGCAGCCGATGAGGATTTCAGAATTCACTTTTGGAAAGCCCATGCACTGGGCTGTTAGTCCCAGCAGCTGCAATTGCTTTCAGTCCGCACGGATCTTGTCAGCCGACCATACCGGATTCTACTGATCGAGTCTTACCTGGCACCTGGTCCTGGAAAGTCCATGAGTCTTTGCAGGGTACGGTTCGCCGGCAGACAGAGCGCATTGGCAAGTTCATCGCTCTGCAATTCAGGTGCATGGGACCAATGCAGGTCGCTTCAGGGTCTTCTTGACAGTCCCAACGAACCGGGATACATGGCCTTGGATTGGTCCCATCGTTTTGAAAGGATCGAGGCCCACAACTAGTTGGGATTCAAGATCCAGAAAGAGCTGTGAATGGCCAAGTTTTCCCGAAAAGCCCGCTTGGGGCCATGATGAATTCGTCGTAGCGTGCTCAAACGAAGCTCTTGTGTAATCCATCAAGTTGGTCTGTTCTCTGCAGATCATCTGGTGGAGCACACGATTGCTACATTGCTACACCGTACCGGGAAAGGGAGTTGGTGTTTCCCATGAGGCATGCACATGGCCTTTGCTGCGGCGGCAACTCCCTAAGCATCTTTCTTGGCATAGCTGCGTGGCGCCTGCACGGGGTATCCGACCCAGTGCTGGACCAGCAGATTGGCGTGGCATAGACGAGGCGACAAAAGGTGGGTCCTGCATGCTTCAGGCTTGCCCGCGCACATGACCGCAGGCCATCAGTTCTTGCTCTCTGCCCAGGTGTTCCTCGCCATCATCCTGGGCGGGATGACCCTGACTCTCTGCGCATCGTTCATCCTTTACGTCGCAGTGCAGGCGAAGCTCGGAGGTTCAGGGAGCAAAGGGAAACGTGCAGACTCCTCCATCCGGTTTCGTCAGCTTCGTCTCTTCTTGACATTTCTTGACTCAAGGCATTGCAGCCGTCATCTAGCAGCGGTTTCTGCATTCTGGCACACTGCATCCCCGGGCCAAAACAGGGCCTTGGTAAGCAAGGTGTTCTCTTGGATTGGGGGGGCGGGGGCGGGTGCCTACTTCTTCCAGTGTCAGGAGCCATGGCAGCAGCTGGCAAGATTGATTTGCAGAAGCCTGCGCTGGAGAGGCAAAAAGCTCTCTCTCTCTCTCTCTCTCTGGATGTCCGTGTGCTTCTCAAGCGACTCCTAGTCTTAGCATGCCGTGAGTATTCTGTAGCAACCCAGAGTGATCAGAAGCTCAGTTGCAACTGTGTGGTTTGTCGGGCAAACATGTGCGCGCACCTGAAACATCAAGTATGTTGCCGCTGGCGTTTGGCTCAGCATCGCCATTTGCCGGCCCTTGGCAATGCATGAGCCTCACAGCGGTTCAGCAGTGAGTGACCAGTTGCTCCCCAGCCCAAAGGCCAGAAGTGTTCCCAAGGCCGGCAAAGCTCTTCCCAACTTATCTGCGATGCTCCAGGGCTGCTTCATAACGGGTATCTGGCAGACAGTCTGAGTGTCTAACGGCATTTTTACACATGACCGGCTCCGTTCAAGTATGCAGGACAGGTGCACGATGCACTTGGACTCTTGTTTACAAGCGGGGATACTTCCGTCCCACTGCGATGCAGCTGCATGACATGGAAGTCTGATTTGCATAATCGTCCATATAGAACTCTTACTAGTTCTTACGGCTTCGAATCTCGCACTCCTTAACGGCTGGCGGCTCCCATTTACCACGAATTCCCACATTGACCGAAATTCCTGCCCAGGTCGTCGGTTTATGGTCCAGAGCTCCTGAAGGCAGATTGGGAGAGAGTACTTCGACAAGGGTATTCAGAAGAGGCGGCTCTAAGGAAGAAGAGGCCTCCTTGTCCTGCGATCTTGCCATATTCGGACCTGTGTTGCAGGACCCTACCGTCGCAGATGACGTCGACACGTCTCTGGGCCGTAAGAAGGGCACCCAGGAGGACTTTCTGGATGCTTGAACCGCTGTTGCAGGGCTCACTGCTCGGATCTGTACCCTGGGCAGGTTTAGATGCGCCAGACACTGAATTAAAAGAGACGTTCCCCCAATGTCTCTTGCACCTGAGTGTACTTCTTGGAATCCGTCGGTTGACTGAAGGAGTTCGAAACAGACCATGCCCGAGCCTTACTGCTGCTTCTCTTGCCTTCGTAAAGTAGGATTGTGCTCACTGCTGGCGGCAGAAGACACGTTCAAAACCACGTCGGACCGGTCTTCATGAGATACAGCTTCCAGAAGCAGATGCTTTCGAAATTGCGTGCTCAAGGATCGCGCCAAGAGAATCCGAAGAGAGAGACGTGCAGCGAAGGAGGGGGGGGGGGGGGGTAAGCCCTACAACAGAGCTGCCACACGGGTAACTGGTGGTTGTTCTTGGGTGTTACAGCTTCAATTCGGGCGAAGTCTTCAGTCTTCGTGGCAGGACAAGGAGAAGGACGAGCAGCAAAAGCATGACATGAACAAGGCTTTCTGGTGCAGTGTGCCCTTATCATGCCTGTTGGATGGCTATCCCTTTTGTGACTTGCGTGCTTCTGTACAGCATCGACCAGCATCCTGCCGAGACGTGCACTGAAATGGCACTTCGAGGTTGATAAACGTGTATGCAACATGTTCCCCATGAACCCTTGTTCGTCTTCGTTGCAGTGCTACGGAATCAGTTTAATTTGTCGGGTTACCACACTCAGAGTACTGTAGCAGAAAAGCGTGCTGTCGGAGGCCATCCGGAATCTGCTCGGTGGTGGTAGCTCCGGGAATAAGCTGGACTTCTCCGGCTTCGCCCTTGGTCAGCGGTCCACAAATTTTCGGAATAGTGATTCTTGCGATTTCCTACGTTTCATACTTCCAGCCCGCCCTCAATCAACACAGTTGCCAATATTGCTGGAAGTGATGTAGCGTAAACCTTATCCCTGTATGGAGTGTCTGCTCGCCGCTAGTCAGGTCCTCGGCCTTACACAACCGCTTGTTTTGAAAGCGAGGCTGCCATTGGAGACCCTATACTGCATGACGACATTGCATTCGGTTTCATTCTTGTTGCTGACAGAGCTCGCTACTTCCGAGGTGCGAACTTCCAGTCCTTTGGCCCATCTGCAGGGCCCAGTGCAGCTTTGCTGCATTGTTGGTTTCACATCGTTCGCCACTTCTGCGCCGTGGTCGAGGTCGGTCCTGCGGGTCCTCCCGCGGGGCCCAGCGCGGGGCCCGCAACCGGGCCCTCGGCCGGGCCCTCGGCTGGGCCCTCGGCTGG